TCGTGTGAGCTGGTGTTCCGCCCGCCCAGTTCGCGAGTCGGCGAGACGCCGCAGGTGGATTTCAGCAGTAAATTCTAGAATCACTAAACGATCTGTGTTTTCCCTGGTCCTTTCCGTTACCGTAGTTGTGTTATGAAACCTTCCGGGAAGACTGCTGCAGTGCCACAGCGGCTGGGTCGTTTGGAGACAGTGGCACTAGACTGGCTGATGCAGACAGAGATGATGTGCGTTAGAGTAACGTTCGCGGGCACCAGCTGTGAATTAAGTCCACCTGTGCTAGGTGCCGTAGAAATGCAACAAGCTAGTTGTGTCTACTAAGAGCCTGCGATCAGAATGTAAGAGAGAAGTTGATACAGGTGGAATAACTGAGTGGGGAGTACTAATTAATGATGGGGTTGTGACTGACATGCTATGCAACATTTGTAGCACACCAATTATCTTGGCCATTGTCAGTGCCTAATTGTTTGGGATAAACCGTTTAGAGCAAGAGGTATGTGTTACTATTTAGCTTACCCTGGGCTTTCTGCATAAAGTGGTGCTGTCTGAAGGCTATTTGGATTATGGTGTTCATGTAAAAATAATGAATGTGATTTTTGCAGTCAACTTTTCTTTCCTTCCTTAGGCTAAAAAATGTAAAATTAGGTAGAGGAACTGATAACTGCATTTTAACCCTTCCTGAGTGTTTCACAGAGCGCTAGTTCAGATAGCATGGACCAAGTTTACCTAGAGGGACTTCCTCTTATAACCACTGGTGCGCAGACCATCTCGCCTTCTGTTAGCACTTAACCACAATGTTTTTCTTCTGTCTTCAAGCGTCTTGTATAATGCATCTGTCACTGGCAAATACAATGGTTGCTAATTGTATCGAATGCACTTCTAATGGCAAGAAGTGACCAGCCACCATCTCCTCGGGGACTTGTTGCTTATGAGCTATTTTGTTGGCTGATTCTTAGGAATTGCATAGATAAACGGAGAAGGACAGGATAAAGTGAAGCAGATAAGAAAATTATGTGGCCAATGTTTCTTAGGCCGTTGAAAAGCAATTTCCTGGCTTTATTCTTACCAGCTTTGGTGCAAATGAAAGATACTGGTGTGCTGGCCTTTCTGCATGTTGTCTTCTGTTTACAGAACAAATGCCAATATTGCCCTCTAAGCATCTTTCCACTTTTCTATTTATGTATCCGTGTTGTTTGGAAAAATGTTGTGCTTACTCTCAAGGACAGAACTCATACGTCATAGGTGGCCCCAAAGTACTCTGGTGTGGCCTGCAAGAACCCATTGGAAACTTAAATTAACATATTTGACACAGTTTATGCAAAATATCATCAGCTAACTGATGATTATTATTATTCGGTTATGGGACAGATCTTTCTTGCACCTTGGATTTGAATTCTGCTGAAGAGAAGTGAGGCCATCGTCCTTGTTCTAGGCAAATCAGTCAGCAATATAGCCAGTTATTAATCCTTTTTTGACTTCTATCAGAGGTTTCTGGTTTTGTCATTGGCACGTCTTGCTTATGGAAAGGAGACACCATTGCTTCCAGAAGGAAGTGACATAGAGTGGAAAGAAACAAAAGCTGGTTCATCAAAGTCTCACATGGTTAGTAGAGGACTTAAAAGGAGAAATAGCTGCCGTGTAAGAATGGTTCAGTATTAGTGGCTGTTTAAGCAGTTTTTTCCATTCAGCTTTTGACAAAAATAGCTGTAAAGGAGCATGTGAACCTCAGAGCATGCAGTCTATTTTTTGATACATCTTGGCTTACATTTGTCAGCTTTAGATTCTCTAGTACGGCACATTTAGTCTGTGCAAAATGTAGAATACAAGAGATTGGTTTCTTGGACCAAAAAATCCTTTGAGTTCATTCCTGAAAGGTGATGATTGTTTCAGTGATACGACATCACCTGCTCAGAGCAAGTGGTTTGAATCAATAACTTTTCACTTTCACTGCTGATTGTATTCTGCCTGATTTACTATTAAGTTCATTCACTCAATTCTTCTGTTTGGGAGCTAACGCTAAGATTTTGTATGTGCCTTATGCTTTTTTCCCATCAATCAGGCATGCACCTTACATTTTTGGCTCCGATATAGGGAAGATGATTAGCTTGTTCAGGTGGATCCAGTGAGCTTTTAAACCTCCTGTGAGACCTCTTCTCTTGCCAACCTTTTCTACAAAAAACACTAACCTCGTTTCAATACACTATCTTTGCATTGCTCCTGAAAACATTTTTCCACAACCTGCAGGCTGTGACTAATTCCCTAGTATGCAGATTATTGACCTTATCTGGGAACATCAAAGCACTGCAGTCAGTGTGCTGATTCTGTGCCTTTCTATCTAGTACCTACAATGTAAGGTTCCTTTCAGCAGCACACCAAGTGGTATCTGGGAATCTGATAAATATAATGTAGTATTTGAATTGATTCCAGCTTCTGTGCCTAGCAATAATTTGGTCTTTTGTCTATGCCAACAAAATACAAGGGGAATCTTGCTTTTTTCAATCGGGCATTCAGTAAAGTATTCACATAGAGGGATTTGGCTTTTCTCCTTTGAGTGTGCTGCTGCTTTTCACTTGCAAGTACTTGATGCATATATTTGAATACTGCAATGAGGAAAAACCTGGATCCTCAGTGCTAGGAAGACAAAATGCTATTTCTAGTGTCATACTGTTATACCTGGCTAGGCACAGCATGGCACAGCGCTTAAAATGGACACTTGTACAAGAGGTAAGTTACAGTGACAATGTATATACAGTTCAGCATGCCTCACACTTGCCATGGAAGGAACATCTTGCAATGAAAAGATTGTGCTAGAAGAATTTTAGTGCCAGTTATTTAATTTTTCGTGATGTCTTCCTTAGGGCACTGACTTCAACAAAGTAAATTAATATCTTTTAAGTGGCTTCAGAGCCTCTCAAGTATAATTATCAAATTGTGATTTTTAACTGAGCTATGTTTTGAACCAGTGACACAAAAGAAAAAAAAATTCACTGTAATAACCAGACTTTTGTATATGCTGTTCTTATATTGTTTCCATGGGTCATTGTTGGTTACCTTTTTAGATACGATTCTTTGTGCTTCTTGTATATCTTAAAGCATGAAAGAAAATTATAGCTATTCAGAGATGCACAGCTGGTTTAGTTACATGTGGAAATTCACTACTTCCATTTCTTTGGTTCCTAATCCTTGAAGAGGATGTATGGCTAGATACAAAATCTCTGCTTATGTTTGATATTCCTCTTTTTTTTTTAAATACATACGTTGATCCTTTAGCATACCCACCAGTTTATAAAACCACAGGTTAGTGGTTCTCAAGCCACTGAACCTTCTTGTAGAACTTGTCCCAGGGAAATTATGTGTTTGTGAACCTTGCTTTATTGCAGTTCCACAGTCCAGTGCTAACTGCTTATCTTTGTCTCATGGACTTACAGTTTGGGAACCTCCTCCCTGAGGCCCTAGGTGTGAAACCTGATTTCATGACTGGGGAAAAGAGAGGAAGAGGTTGTTTTGTTTGGTTCGCTGTGGCTAGGGTTTGCTAACTTCTCAGGAAGTAACCTCAGTTTTCTCTTTTCTCACCACTGAGCTGTTCAGTTTACAGCGGTTACTTTTACTTACGATCCTTTCACGTTATTCTCTGTTAACATATGGGATCAAAGACTGAAAAAGAATATAGAGAGATCCTCTCAAAAAAGTCCCTGTGACAACTAGAATTTGCACAGTATCTTTGACTTGTGGCTCCAGCTACTTTTTTTCCTTTTCCTGAAAAAATAATAGTTTTTATAAAATACAAAATAACAAGAATCTGTGCTTGTTTAACTGGTGCAGTTAAACTGCAGCGTATGCAAGGATCAGGTCTCACTGCCCTACATGCAATGTGCCATTCCTAGTTTGTGCGCGAATTCATCATTCATACTCTGGTTGTGCTGTCTCCTAACTGACTTTGGTGCTGTTGGTTTTGCTACCTCCTTGAGATTAGCCTTACTGACTCGAACTAGAAGACAAAGCTGAATCAAACCTTCCCTCCTCTCCCCCTCCTCCAATTAGCATAGTAAAACCTAGTAAGAGGAATACAGTTTTTTTCCCATGGACTGCTGTGCTCTGGTGCTTGTGCTGAGCATTTGGCTAAATCTTCAGTAAGATAAAGTAAAATACATTGCGCAAGGGGAAATAAATCTTGTTTTATAATGTGGGGTTTCAGACCAGTCCTGCTTTCTCTGGTTCATAAGAGGTTGCTGTACCAAGAGAATAATTTCCCTTTGTCATGTGCTGACTCCTCTTGAACTCCTCTGTCACTGTGGTTCTGCAGACTGCTGCAGAATGACTCTTCTTGAATCATATTTGCATATCATTTCCTTTCATCACAGGCTGCTTGCTGGAAAATCAGCTCTCCTGTGTCTTGTATTGGTTGTTTGCTTTCACCCTTAAAGAAAGATGGTTTAGATTTGTTCCATGTCTGCTTTGACCTTGTGTTGATAGTTTTTGTACTGGGTCTGTACATCATCTCCCTCTTTCTGGCTATGTCCCAAACTGTATTTATATTTATGGGAGTTATCTAGCATTTAGCTGTAAAAGTGGCTTTTACCTAGTCCTTTCTGAGACCAACATTAGCAAACAAGTTTGTTACCTTTTCTTTGGAAAGTCCAGGCTCAAATTTTAATCTGATGTTGTTTACCTGAGTATGAATCTCACCTCAGAGAGATCACCAATCTGTTTTTCACATGTGCTTTATGATAGAGGAAGGTGGTTTTGCCTACCATTGACCCAAAAGAATTCAATAGAACAAACCTGGAATTCTTCTGCTTCAGCTCCTTCATTATGTATTCATTCTGTATTTTTATTTAACGTTAGAAAATATGTCTGATTCCATTCACAGGGATCCTGCCAGAGTGTCTGTACTCACTTTCTTTTGGATATAAAGTACATACTGTAAAGATAACTGCATACACAGACACACTCTGTTATGTCACTGCTGGGGGAGGTGTCCGTATATATATTTGGTGGATGTAGTGCTGAGACCAGTAATACAGGAGATACTGTTGATTTGTTTACAATAGAAAGCTACTGCTATTTTGACATGTCTGTTTGATCTCCTATTACAGAACACTTACAGCACTATAAAAGCACTTGATCTGCATGTACTCATTCTGGTAATAAAAATACCATAAAATCTTACTACGAGTCATTTTATATGTATACAGCTTTGTCTATACTCAGCTTTTAAAAACACAACTGCTTAAAAAAAAACCCCAAAATTAGTCATATGATCATCAGTAAAATGTCTAAGTACCTATTAGAGTTTATAATGCATGGTCCATGGATTAAATTACTTACAGCAGACATTTATGCTTTATTTGAGATTCTGGATTAAATCTCAAAATGCCCAGAAAATTCCCTGCAGTATTAGCCCAAGTCCAGATTCTCACTGTTCTACAAAAGATCCATGCCCAGAAAATTCCCTGCAGTATTAGCCCAAGTCCAGATTCTCACTGTTCTAGCCAAAAGATCCTTACTCTTTCCCATGAAGTTGAAGGAAGAATATCTTCTAGTTCAGTCTTTGGGACAAAAATCTCTTTTGAAGGGATCCTCGTTCCTCTGTATTCTTTAAGTCTACTGAAATTGTAGGCAGGACAGCTTTAATCCAGAAGTGGACCACGACCTCCTATACTCCATTGTCGTTGAGAAAGAAAACTTGCATAAAAGTGGGCTCAACTGCCTCTCTTATTTCTCTTGTCAATGTGTTGCTGCTCTGTTTTACAAATTAGAATGCCTCTTTGGGTGTTTTAGTGGAGGTTTTCTTGGTTTTGCTTTTATCTTTCCCTTTAGAGAGCTCTTCCCAGTTTTTGTCTTATCCATCATTTTTGACTTGTACGTTCCATTAGCTATAACGCTCTGCTTGGAGGTGTATCTTACTGCCACCTAACAAAGCACTGGTAGTTGTTTCTATAGGAAATCGGGTAGTTCTTGCTAACACAACACTCAGCAGGATTTCAGATAAGGTTCAGGCTCTCATATGGATATCAGAAACAAGCTTGGTTGTAGTAGGTAACAACAAAAAAAAAATCTTTCCTGTATTAGGGCACTTAACTATTGTGGAAACTGACAGGGACTAGGGAGCAGAAGCTTTCTCTGAGGGGCCTGTGCTATAACATTGGGTGAAGATTCTTGCTCTCCTGAGAACTCTAGTCCTGAACCCCTGTTGAAGGCAAGATACTAGAAGTGGTGTACTCAAAAGATCTGACTCTTTCCAAAAACTGATTGATTTGAGTATGAGTTAGCTCTTCTCCAATAAAATCAAATCATGAAGGATGTTTTAGAGGCAGTTTTCATTTTAAATCCATTATTACCCCTCATGTCTACAGTATTTCATAATAGAAAGTAGATGGTCTCTTGGGAGGAGTAGTGCGGAAATTTGGGGAGAAGAGGGAAGGGTCTGGTTACAGTTTTGACGTGGGAGTCCTGTCATCTACTATTGTTTTTTTCATTGTCTCATGGATTATTTGAGAAAGTAAATTGTTTTCCCAATCTCTACTTGATAACACACTGCAAAAGGGCCCTTGTGATATCTGTTCTGAATAGATGTTTTTTTTTTTTTCACATGAATATTTTAGAAGTGACGTGAAAAAAATAGTGTAGAATTTATCTTCAAGATTCATCCTCACGTGACATACTTTTTTCATGCAGATTAGAAGTGATACATCACAGATCCTGGACGAGACCATTCCGCTCATTAAAGACAAGGTGATGGAGATTAACCACAACTATGCCAAAGTTGATAAATTAGAGGTTTGTTCATTGCATTAGAAAATTTACATCCTTATTTTATGTGTTTTATAGGTTAACTGTCCAGGTATTTAAATGGAGCACTCAGATGTTTATGGCTCTCTATTGTCTTATGTTTGTTTTTAAATCAATGTGTTTACCCATGGTTCAGCACATATAAGTGTTTATGGTTTTGGAACATCACTGAGTAATTTATTGCTGTGGATTCTACAATTCCTAACGGTGGATTAAAAGCATTAGCTGTGGTTTTGATGTTAATAATAATGCTAATAATGTTAATCTGTTTTGTGACTTGAAGGAGTATCTGTGAAACCATTTATAACTTTGAAAATTCAAGTCTCACGTCCAGTGCTGGACATACCCATTTTAAGTTGTTGATGATCATCTTATGTAGTAGTGGAGAGATTTCGGAGCCCCCATCTTCTGTTGTGTCTGTTTTGGTGTTTATTGTATCCTGAATGAGGGAAGCCAGTATGACTCACTAAGATGATGCCCTCATCATATTTAGTTGTTCTTAATAGATGTTTTCTAAAATATTCATGTGAAAAAAAAAAGTGACGTGAAAAAAATAGTGTAGAATTTATCTTCAAGATTCATCCTCACGTGACATACTTTTTTCATGCAGATTAGAAGTGATACATCACAGATCCTGGACGAGACCATTCCGCTCATTAAAGACAAGGTGATGGAGATTAACCACAACTATGCCAAAGTTGATAAATTAGAGGTTTGTTCATTGCATTAGAAAATTTACATCCTTATTTTATGTGTTTTATAGGTTAACTGTCCAGGTATTTAAATGGAGCACTCAGATGTTTATGGCTCTCTATTGTCTTATGTTTGTTTTTAAATCAATGTGTTTACCCATGGTTCAGCACATTTAAGTGTTTATGGTTTTGGAACATCACTGAGTAATTTATTGCTGTGGATTCTACAATTCCTAACGGTGGATTAAAAGCATTAGCTGTGGTTTTGATGTTAATAATAATGCTAATAATGTTAATCTGTTTTGTGACTTGAAGGAGTATCTGTGAAACCATTTATAACTTTGAAAATTCAAGTCTCACGTCCAGTGCTGGACATACCCATTTTAAGTTGTTGATGATCATCTTATGTAGTAGTGGAGAGATTTCGGAGCCCCCATCTTCTGTTGTGTCTGTTTTGGTGTTTATTGTATCCTGAATGAGGGAAGCCAGTATGACTCACTAAGATGATGCCCTCATCATATTTAGTAAGCAGTATGTTAAAATTTGTGTCAACTGAGGGCAAGTTTGCCTCTGGGAGGAATATAATGAAAACATGACGAGATAAATTGTGTAATGTTTAAAATCAGTTTTAGCTGACTCAAAGTGAAAGAAACCAAGTGTTTGTGGCATTAAATCCGGATAGGCAGTGCTTAAGTTTCAGCCTCTACCCCTGTACAAAGTGATATACTCTGGTAAGGTTTATTACTCTGGGAGGGACAGGACAATTGACTTAGCTTTCAGCAAGTTTTCTTTAAATGAAATTAATTTTTTTGTAGTTTGCATTTTTACACCTACATATGACAACAGACTTATCAAACCACTTCATATTTTATGGACTTACACAGCACCAGGAGAAAGCTTCAGGCAGAAAATTGAGGCAAGGCATTTTAGAACAAAAGTGGGAGTCAACTGTTAACTTGTTTAGAACCTGTCTGATTTTGGGAACTGAGTACTCCAGTCCAAGAAATAGCTAGCAGGTTCTCAGCATACTTGACAATTTGGCCATACTTGAATGTATACTTAAGCTAGGACTGTGAAAAATGGCTAAGTGAATCAGGTTCCAAACCAACTGTTTCTGGAAGTGTCTCACCCATTTAGGTCTTTTTGCAAATTCTGAGCTTGTAGGTGGTTGGGATTTTTTGGGGAGTGTGGGGGGCTGTTTTTGTCTTTGAACAGGAAAATAAAATTAAAACTCTAAGCAATTATGTGTGCCAAAAGTATGGTAAATGACAGGGCTCCATATTACTTTTTCCCCTCTAATACAGGGAGGGGAAAAAAAAAAAAACCAACCTTCCTGACCCCATTCCCTTAGTACAACTGTAGGAACATAGTAATTTGGAATATGAAGAAAACACAGCTCTTTGCTAGGCTACAGGTTGCCCTTGAATAATGCAGCAGAATTTTGTTGAGAGGCTTTTTTTGGTTATCAAGGGAGGATAATACCTTGATTGGCTAGGAATCAATTTTTCTCCCTAACATTACCAGCTGTAATGGCAGTAATCTGAGAGCACAAGATTAAATTGGTAATTTGAGCAGTAGTTAATGTTTTAATTAGAACTTTTAAATTTAAAGCTTAGCATCCATGGGGATTTTCAAGGGAGAAATTAACTTGTACTCCCAAGAGTCGAAAAGGAAGGGACTGTTGTGTAATGGTTACATAGGATGAGAATCTGCTGGGATTTAATTTTGATGTTGCCACTGGTACATTTTGGGCAGTTAGTTTACCTGTTCAGTCTCACCTTCCCCATCCCTGAAATGGGCAGTGCTCAACTTCTCAAAAAAAAAAAAAAAGTGAAGCTTAATCATTAATAGAGAGTATCAAAACTCTTTACAAACTGTTCTGTATTTTAACAAATAAATACTGTGTTCTTTCTAGTTGGCTTTCCCTTATGGCTCAAATTTCGACTGAAACTGGACACACGTATGTTTTAGGTCAATAATTCCTGATCTTTTTTAGCTAAAATCACCTGTCGTTATCTTTTCCTCTGCTGTCTCCTCCCTCCTACCACTTTGGCTATTTTCTCACTCCCACCAGTACTAGCAGCGTCTTCGTGGGTTCTGAAGAGCTTTTCACCTCGCTGCTGAAATGTTGCTGGACCTTTAGACACTATGCAAGTGCTTACATACTCTGTATGCTGAAAAGGGAGCAAAACTCTGCCCTTAGGCAAGGAGAAAACTTAAACTTAGGTCATGACCAGTGGCTCATGGCTGTAAACATCTGTAGTCTACTTATGAGTATGTGCCCTTTAGATATTTATACTAGCAATAGTGCACGCTGAAATCTTGTTAAAGGTTTTTCTTTGACTTCTGATCTCTAGCTAGGATAATGTTGAAACCCAGCATAGGTGCTTTTAATTTTCATTAGGTGTTTTTCCTCTCTCCATAGGCATTTGTTAAAATGGTTGCACGCCATATTTCCTTCCTAGAAGAGCAAGTGCTTGAAGCAGTGAAGAGCCATGGCACCTTTCTTAATACTGTTTGCAAATTATTTCAGTGTGCAACTATCTCGTCATTTGAAAACGTGAGTATTTTTAAAGTTGCTTCCAGCAGATGGGAAAGTGATGTTAAATACCCTTTCTGTATCAAATGTGGCCTTACAGCAGATTTAATTATTACTTTTAAGTGGTGTAAAAGAACTAGCTACAGTTTGATTCTATAAAGGGAATTTTTTTTTTTACATTTTTTAAAATTTTCAATAATTTCCTTTTTTTTAAGAGTTGCTGCTTAGGCATTGAATAGTTCCAGGAGTAATTTTTGAAGATCTCTACGTTTTGCTCCTGAATGAAAAGATTTTCTCTGTACATGTATATGCAAATTGGAAGCTTGTTCTACATCATCTTACAGTGAGAGACATAAGCATAGATTGTTCTTTTTATTTAGTCTTTGTTTTTATGTCAATTATGTCGAAATGACTTTGTAGGGTCGTCCATGGATGAGCACTAGAGGGGGATGAGAACTCTTTCAGTGAGTTGTAGTGATGGTTGCTGATAGAAGAATGTTGAGAGTCAGGGGTAGTGAGATCTGATGTGGACTTGAGGAAGCTTTATGTACTCTTCATCCTTTCTGTCCCTGTTCTTTTCCAAGAATGTCTTCATACCACTTACCTTTACACTCTGTTTTCCTTCTCTAAGCTCCCAGGTCATTCTCTAAATCTGTAGTTTCCCCAACAATTCATCACAATCTCCAGTTAGCCTTTTCTGAACTCATCCCTTCCATTCCTCCCTCTCCATCTTGATGTGAATCTGCTATGTTTTCAGTCTTAGCATATCTCTATCAGGATCCTTGTTCTAGTTTCAACTACCTCCCCGCTTTCTTTTGTCCCTTCTGTATTTCCACCATTATGTTTCCCTCCTCATTTTTTTCCAAGGGGCTTCTGTGCCAGTATGCATAATACTGGGTAGGCAATAATACACAGGTATCGGTGACCACATATGTACAGCTGAACCACTTCAAATTTTTGTCTGGTGTCATAGCAACCTCTGAAAGCTTCAGTTGCAGGAAAAGTCCAGTTCAGTTTCTGCAGATCCAGGACGAATCTTAACTGCTTAAAGAGAATAATGAATATTCAGTCTGGTCAACAGAGGCGTGGACAGGAGATGGTGCATACTTATTTCATCTTCAGCTGTCAAACTCTAGTGAATCTTTAGAAAACCACAGTTTATATAGTCTCAGTAAAGAGTTGTAACTTGGCCAAATTTGGTAATATTTTCATAGGAATGGGAAAATATGTCCCTGGTATGAGGGCAGTTTACTGCCAATTTAAAATCTCTGCTGTAGCTTATGAAGGCATTGGAGCTTTTCAATAGAGCTAAACAACACATACTTTTCCTTAATTTCATTATCTGAATTGGCTTGATTTTGTTCTCTAAAACTTTCCAAACATGTTAAACCTGCAGCAGATACCCAGTCTGGAAAATATATCAAAGCTGGAAGTTTTGCAAGGTTGGTCTGCCTATACAAATAACTGGGACGCCAATAAGAATGTGGAAAAGGCCAGACTATTTACTCAGAAGCTGGCTTGAGTTGGACTTGAAGACAGTATAGTGTTTTCAATTTTTTTTCCCTTATAATTACAAAGAAAAATTTTGAAATATTACGTAATTATGTATTCATGCTTGCAGGCATCTTGGAACGATAATATTAGCGAACAAAAGAGAAAAACAAATAGGAAATGGTGTAGCTTCCTACTGTACTGATCTTATCCCTTTCTCCCATCCTTTCCCCCAAAAATAGTACATCTAGAAAGCATGGTGAGAGAGGTAACAAGGATGAGCACAGATGAGGAAAAGTTCTCTCAGAGGAATTTCTAAACAGACAAATCTCCAGCCTGAGGGAGGACAGGACAGGACAGGATAGAGATTCGTTAAGTCATTCTGTATGTGAGCAGGTGAATAGAGAATGATTATTCACTCCCTCCCATAATTCAAGAACTAGGGTCATCCAATGAAATGATCCGCAGGCAGGTTCACAATACAAAAAGGGAGGTACTTACTTTACATGATGTATTAATATGCCACAGAACTTATGTCCACAAGATGTTACATATTCTCAAAGCAATTAGACAAATTCATGGGGAAAAAAAATCCAACAATGGTTATTAAACAAAATATCTGTCCTTCAGCCACGAATTCTTGAAGACTGGGAAATAAGTTTGTGTATTTACCCTTTAAATCTTTCCCTAGGCAATCCCTTCAACTGGTCACCACTTCAGAGGGATTATTTGGCTGCATGGACCTTTGAATGATGCGGTACAGCTGCTTGTTAGTAACTTTTACACTGGTTCTCACTGTAAATTCTGGCTCTGAATGACAATGCTCTGTGTTGGTAAGGAATTATTCACTTCTAGGAGAAGTGTGCAGGAAAGGATTGAATTGTTTAAGGACATAAATGGAGTTTGAATTTCTACACAAATTTTCCTTTTGGTTTGACTGTTGCCTGAAACTTGAGTAAGATCCCTGCCAACTATCGAAGTTTCTGTACGCTCCCCAAATCTGTTTCTTTCTAGTTGTCCATCCCCTTTCCCCTGTTATGTAGGATATCATTGCAGAGATGCCCCTTTGGCATCTTTTGCCATTTGAAAATTAGGACTGTCCTGACCATTTTTGTAGGTGAGTTTAACTTGTTCTGAATTGATAGTGTCCAGCTTGTGTATCTTCTCTCCGTAGCCTTGATCAGACTGGGTAAAAAAAGTTTGAGAGTTCCCTTCTTTCTGAGTAGTGTGCGTGCATGTATATGTATTTCAGCTAAGTTTTTTCCTCTTCTAATTAAACATGCATGCTATTTTAAACGTTAGGGAAATCTCATTGTTTTGCAATTATATTTCAAGGTGCAGCAAAATCCTGTAATGTTTGTCTTTTTTATCTTTGTGTTTTTTGAGTATTCAGAAAGTTGTTTCGTAAAGACTTCCAGTGCACAGTAACACTGGGAAAGGTGTCTAATCTGTGGGAGAAAAGTGAGTAATCAGAATTCACTTTTTGTGTTAGGAATATCCAGAGGTGGTATGAAAAGAAACAGCCTTATACTAAATATAAATTACAAATATGACTGGGTAAGTCTGACAGGGTATAAGAATATAACACCTCCTGAGGGAACAGAACAGAGGAAATAACTTTCTCTTGTGAAGTTTGTGGCTCTGTGGAAGAAAAGCTTTTCTTCTGTAGAGCTTGAACTTTGTATGGGAGAAACTGTGATTTCAAATCTTTTATCCAAAGATGTTTTCTGTGCCCTGGCTGAATGGGGTTCAGCAATCTTAGAGAAAGGACAGGAAATCTGTTTTAGAAAACTTCAGCATGTGGAGTTTAAAAAAACCACTAGTATCTTTTCCAATGGAAGAAAACTGAATGTCAGCAACTCTTGCTGTTTTGTCATGCATCTTGTGATATCTGGGATTTTCTTAAAGCCAGAAATTTTCTTTCAATGTCATTGGCTGACAATCTTAAATGTTTATTTTTAGAGTAATTTTTAACCCCTGTATAGTTGCAGGGAAAGGATTATAAAATCATTACCTCCAAAAAATCTCATGCAGATGGCATGAAGAAAAAGATGCACGTTTGTTAGATTTTTTTTTTTCAGAGGCTCTTTATTGTCTCTTTTTCTTTCTACTAACACTGTCATCTCTAAAACAGCAGCTGCTTATCTGAGGTGGGGTTTGCTGCCTTGTCTTGGCTCAGGTGCTGGCTAATGGTTTTTCCTGACACCTGGGGTAGATTCTGGGAAATTGAACTGGGAAATTGCTAATGGGATATGAAGCATTCTGTGTGTTACTTTATTAGTTCATCCAAGCTCAGTCATGAGCAAAAGTTATCGATGAGTTATACTGACTAAAGTATCTAGGAAAGAGACCTGTACTTAACAGTTCTTTTCAGTGGTTACCAGTGTGAAGTGTGGAAGCGGACATAGACTTCTGGCTGCAGTCTCCATAGAGTGGTAGTAGATTCATTCTCTGAGAGAAGAAAGCTCAGAAGGACTAAGGAGCTATGTAGAGTTAAGGTTTCGCTTAATGTAGAAGACAGCTAGCTGGGTTTGAATTTTCATAAATAAATCTTAACAAAAATAAGTAATTGGAATAAGAAATCTTTTCTATATTGAGACTTTGCATTTTTCTTACCTTTTACAGATCATCCTTCAAATGTAACTTGATGTCGGTTTTAGCTTCTCTATTTGCTACATATTACCAATTTTTTTTTCTTGAAGACTCTGAAGAAGCACGTATTGGGATTTCTGTTACTGTCTTTGCCACTGACAATGTGTGATCACATATATGTCATGCTCTTTCTTTGTGTCCTAATTTACCTCACAAGATAATGTTTAGTGTTTCCAAAATGCTGTGAGATTTTTCTGACAGCCTTGAAGAAAAATAGTTGTTAAATTATTACTAAAACATACCAGATGGGAAAGATGAGAAGAGAGAAAACAGAGCAGAGTATTTCAAAACTGGGGGTGTACTATGTTCATATTTAAAACTCATTCATTTTCAAGTGCTGAATACTACCAGCCACTTTTTTAATAATGGGGAAAATAAAAAAATCTGACATGTACTGAAATATTTAATGTTAAGAACTTTGGGGGCACATTCAGCTTATTTTACCTGTAGCTATGCTTGAAATTCATCCAGTTCCATTCTGATTTGGACTGGTTTTGGGAGCCCCAGAGAGGTCACACTGGTTCTGTGTTGAGAAAAGATAACACTTAAAAATGGGAAGATTCAAGTGAGGGGATGCCGTAGGCGCAGAAGTCAAGGTTTCGGCTACCCATGGCTTTAGCCCGTATTCGCCTGCTTCTTTGAGGGAGCCTACACAATTCTCAAAGTTAAGCGAGAGTTTCTTGCCAGTTTGCCAGTCTGGCGTATAGCTGAAGAGCTTGAGAGAGGCTGCAACACTGTGCTTGGACATCAAGCAGTGCCACTGGTTTGGAGGAGCAGATGAGAGTGCTTGGGGCTTGAACACTGCACACAGGAGCAGAAATACACACATGCACACACCTGTGTCTTGAGAACATTAGGGAAGGCTGGGGGAGAAGTGG